GTGGATAGTCTGTGGACCACAGCTAGGGGACCCAGGAAAGAAGGTTTATGTCCCAAGGGCAACATGATTCACTGGGCTAAAGATTAGAGGACATCCTGTTTGAGGTGGAGGGAGTGACAGGAACAGAAACTGAGGCTCTTCGAACCAGCTCCTCCTTGTCTCAGAATGCTTCATTCCCAGCATGTTATACAGTTACACAGAGGTGTGGGGCAGAGCAGGGAACTGGCTTGATTCAAAGCCACCTGGAGCATTGCCCTGTACGTATGCTTATTGTTTGAATGTGTATCTGTTAGCATCTTGTTTGTTTTTTTTTTTTTCCTTTAACCTCTCTCTATATTTGAAGTAGATTTCTTGTAGATAGCATTTACTTGTTTTTTGTTTTTTTGTTATTTATGTATGTAGGAGTCAAAACCATTAGTGGTATTGACAGGACCACGGACAGCACTATTTGGCTTTTTATATATATATATCTTCTCCCTTGTCTGCTGTGGATGTTGGAATAAAGTTGCCAGATTGGTGGTGATCCATCTCATGATCCTGTCATTTAACTCACTTGTGTTGTGATCTACCATGTGTAATAAGAGACTTTAAATCCACGTACATCTCTTTTGTGGAGCTGGGCAGTCAAAGAAGTACGAGCCATTCCTAGCACATAATGTCAAAACATAAGCCCTGCATTATGCTTAGGTTTAGAAACTAAAACTTCACAGAAAGGAGATAACAAATCATATTCACATCTCAAAACCCAAAAGCTTGAAACATTTCATTTGTAGAAAAAAGGAATAAGAGGCCAGGTGTGGTGGGTTATGCGTGTAATCCCAGCATTCTGGGAGGCTGAGATAGGCGGATTGCTTGAGTCCAGGAGTTTGAGACCATCCTGGACAACATAGTGAAACTCTGTCTCTACTAAAAATCCAAAACAATTAGTGGAGTGTGGTGGCACAGGCCTGTAGTCCCAGCTACTCAGGAGGCTGAGGTGGGAGATTCACCTGAGCCTGAGAGGTGGAGGCTGCAGTGAGCCAAGATCATGTTGTTGCATTCCAGCTTGGGCAACCAGAATGAGACCGTCTCCCCCCCGCCAAAAGGAAAAAAAAGAAATAAGGCCAGGCACCATGGCTTATGCCTGTAATCCCAGCACTTTGGGAGGCCAAGACAGGAGGATCCCTTAAGCCCAGGAGTTTGAGAGCAGCCGGGGCAATATAGTGAGACCCTGTCTGTTCATAAAAAAATAAAATTATCCAGGCATAGTGGTGCAATTTTGGCAATTTTATTGTATAAATATCATAGGGTGTACTTACACAAACCTATATGGTATAGCCTACTGCACACCAGGAGAATATGGTACAGCCTGTTATTCCTAGGCTACAAATCTGTACAGCATGTTACTGTACTGAATACTGTAGTGTTCATCTGTAACACAATGGTATTTGTACATCTAAACATATCTAAAACCTAGAAAAATACAATGTAAAAGATAAAAAATAAGGTACGCCTGTATAGAGCACTTATGAGTGGTGCTTGAAGGACTGGAATTTGTTCTGGGTGAGTAGGGTAGTGAGTGATGAGTGCATATGAAGGGGGCCTAGAACATTATGTACTTTTATATGACTGGCAGCTCAGTAGGCTTGTTTATACCAGCATCACCCTAAACACATGAGTAATGCATTGCACTTACAATATTATCAATATTACCGCAGCTTTCACTAGGTGATAGGCATTTTTCAGCTCCATTTTATTTATTTTTATTTATTATTATTATTATTTTTTGAGATGGAGTCTCACTCTCTTGCCCAGGCTGTAGTGCAGTGGTGCGATCTCGGCTCATTGCAACCTCTGCCTCCTGGGTTCAAGCAATTCTCCTTCCTCAGCCTCCCGAGTAGCTGGGACTACAGGCACATTCCACTGAACTCGGCGAATTTTTGTATTTTTAGTAGAGACAGGGTTTCCCCATGTTGACCAGGCTGGTCTTGAACTCCTGACCTCAAGTGATCCACCCACCTCAGCTTCCCAAATTGCTGGGATTACAGGTGTGAGCCACCACACCTGGCCTTCAGCTTCATTATAATTTTATGATACCACTGACATATATGTGATCCATTGTTGGCTAAAAAAATGTTATGCAGTGGCCAAGCGAGGTGGCTCACGCCTGTAATCCCAGTACTTTGGGAGGCTGAGATGGATGGATCACGAGGTCAGAAGATCAAGATCATCCTGACTAACATGGTGAAGCCCCATCTCTACTAAAAATACAGAAAATTAATTTTAAAATTAAAATTAAATACAAAAAATTAACCAGGCATGGTAGCGGGTGCCTGTAGTCCCAGCTACTTGGGAGGCTGAGGCAGGCAATCACTTGAACCAGGTAGGCAGAGGTTGCAGTGAGCCAAGATCGCACCACTGCACTCCAGCCTGGATGACAGAGCGAGACTCTGTCTCAAAAACAAAAAACAAAAAAACCCAGCAACAACAACAACAAAAAACCCGTCGTGTCATGCAGCTCATGATTGTATTTACTGTGCAATATGTAGTGCTTTGTTTTTCTATTACTGAAAAAAAGACACACCTGGGGCTTGGGAATGACGTTCTGGTAGAGATGTAAATTTGGGATTTACTAACATTTGGTTTCAATTGTTCCTTATTAGGCAGAGGTATATCCATGACTCAGAATTTATTTGTAGCCTTAGAGATCATACTTTGAGGGAGTCAGTGTAGATGAGATTGTGCTGGTCCTCATTTACCTGATTCAGAAAGAACCAGCTATTGTCATCTGATTTTAGTTGGACAGTACAGGGCTTACTGCCCAGGTTTACCAGCTACCAACCGAGGCTAGATCTGTTCTGTGCATTTACTCATATAAAATCCTTACAACAATCCTGCCTCAGAGTTGTTCTAATGGAAGTGGAATATTGAGCACAATAACTAGAACACAGCAAGTTCTCAATAGGATAACTATCGTCATGATTATCATGTATTACTCTTTTACAGAAGACGAAACAGAGGCTCAAAAAGATTGATTAGGAGGAGTTACAGAGCAATCGAGCCTGGGCACAGTGGATCACGAGGTCGGGAGTTCGAGACCACCCTGACCAACATCATGAAACCCCGTCTCTACTAAAAATACAAAAATTAGCCGGGCGTGGTGATGCATGCCTGTAATCCCCAGCTACTCAGGAGGCTGAGGCAGGAGAATCGCTTGAACCAGAGAGGCAGAGGTTGCAGTGAGCCAAGATCGCACCATTGTACTCTAGCCTGGGTGACAGAATGAGACTCCGTCTCAAAAAAAAAAAAAAAAAGGAGTTACAGAGCAATCAATGAAGAGGGCTGATCTAGGTCTTGTACAGTTTTAAAGTCTATGCTGTATCTCCATTTTAATACTTACCATGTAGAGTGTGCACATGCATGTCATTAGTGGTTGTGTGACCACAGGCCAGTCATAGCACCCAGTTTCCTCATCTGTAAAATGGGGGTAACACTTCATGTTTTATGTAGAATGTCTAGAGTTCTTAGCTGTGTGAAGCTGGAGGCATAATGAAAATTAGGTTTACTCCATCTTTCTTTTCTCTGAAATGCATTGTGACATCTTTCCAGATTTCAAGTATTAATTCTTTGCCAGTACTGTGTGTTTACAATAGATCTTCCAGCTTGAGGCTTGTCTTCTCATTTTGTTCATGGTAGTATTTTCACTAGCTGTAGTTTTGTAACAAAGAACTGTAACAAAGGTGGATATATTAATCTTTCCCTTATAGCTCTTGCTTTTTGTATCTTGCTTAAAAATTTATTCCAATAAATTTGTACTCCAAGGTCACAAAGATATTCTCTTACATTTTCTTGTGAAAGTCTTATAGTTGTTAATCTACTCAAAATAGTTTTTTTTTTTTTTGGATCAAAGTAGGGATCTAATTTCATTCCCCACCCCCAATAATTGTTCCAGCAACATGGAAAGTTCATCCCTTTCCCCACTGATTTCTAGTGAACATCTGATATATATAAAGTGTACATTTATGTAAGCCTTACAAAATATCACACCATTTTAATTGTTATAGCTTTATATATAGTAGGTATTATTAGTTGGGAGGCATGTCCCCTCAGCTTGTCAGAATTCTATGGAAATTTCCTTTGGGATTGTTACTAGAGCTGCATTGAATCTATAGATATGGTTGTGGGAGTATTGGTATCTTTACCATCATGAACATGCTTTCTTCATGATTTAGATATTTTAAAATGTTTTTAAATATAGCTTAATATTTTCCTGCACAATAACCTTCACAATCTTTTAAAATTTATTTCTAAGTGCTTAATGCATTTTTGTTGCTATTGTAAAAAAAATTTTTTAATTAAATTTTTGTTTGTTATTTGTTTATACAAATGAAATTGGCCTTTGGATTACTTTGTGTTTGTTCTTTCATTAAAAAATCTATCTGGGAACCTTACTGCAGTCTTCCATAGTATAAATTATATGGCATCAAGTTTATATTACAGTTTTAACTCATTTGTTATTATTTATTGTTTTACCAAGCACTACGAAAGACTATTGTTTTTTGTTCAAAGGAATACTATTTGCATTTGTTAAAAGGAAATGGTGTTTCACAATCTCTGTGGAGATTTTAAACAAAAGGAGCATGTCTCTGTTCTACTTCCAGAAATCCTCATTTTGTAGCTCTAGAGAAAACCTGAGCTGCTTGTTCTTTTGAAAATCTCCCATATGGTTCTGTACATTTCTGTTGGAAAACCACTGCTAGAGAAGTTGCTAAACAGTAAAAGCATTTAGCCCATGGTGATGTGGGGGAAGGGAGGCATTTCATTTAAAATTATGAAGAATTTATGCATCGTTTAGTATTTCATGTGTGATGTATAGATAAAATCAGTATATTTACATAGACAATTGTTTTTAAGTGACAGCAGGTATGAATTTAAAAAGAATGGACATTGAAAAACAACCAAGTCACAGTTTGAATGGGATGTGTTGGTTAAGTACTCAGTATATTTGTATTAAAACTTAGAATATAATTTTGTTTTTCCCAGTTGGAGTCATTCGATGCCCAGTTTGCAGCCAAGAATGTGCAGAGAGACACATCATAGATAACTTTTTTGTGAAGGACACTACTGAGGTTCCCAGCAGTACAGTAGAAAAGTCAAATCAGGTAAGTGTATTACGTCTTGAACCTTTTGCCAGCTCTTTTTTTTTTTTTTTTTTTTTTTTTTGAGACGGAGTCTCAACTCTGTCGCCCAGGCTGGAGTGCAGTTGGTGCAATCTCGGCTCACTGCAAGCTCCGCCCCCCGGGTTCATGCCATTCTTCTGCCTCAGCCTCCCAAGTAGCTGGGACTACAGGCGTCCGCCACCACGCTTGGCTAATTTTTTGTGTTTTTAGTAGAGATGGGTTTCACTGTTTAGCCAGGATAGTCTCAATCTCGACTCGTGATCCTCCTGCCTTGGCCTTCCAAAGTGCTAGGATTACAGGTGTGAGTCACCACACCCAGCCTCTTTTTCTTTTTTTTTTTTTTTAAATTGAGATGGAGTCTTGCACTGTTCCCCCAGAGGTGTGAGTCACCACACCCAGCCTCTTTTTCTTTTTTTTTTTTTTTAAATTGAGATGGAGTCTTGCACTGTTCCCCAGGCTGGAGGACAGTGGTACGATCTTGGCTCACTTCCACCTCCTCCTCCTGGGTTCGAGTGCTTCTCTCATCTCAGCCTCATGAGTAGCTGGGATTACAGGCGTGCGCCACTATGCCCGGCAAATTTTTGTATTTTTAGTTGACATGGCATTTCACTATGTTGGCCATAGTGGTCTCGAACTCTTGACCTCGAGTAATCCACTCACCTCAGCCTCTCAAAGTGTTGGGATTACAGGTGTGAGCTACCATGCCTAGCCTCTTTTGCCAGCTATTGATGAGGCAGCCTAAAATGCTGGAGGTCTTTAAAAGGAGCCAAACATTAGATAATTGATCTATAAAATTATATAACATTTTAAAAGGAATATAAAGAATAATGAATAATTCACCTTAAGAAATTAAAACAGTGAAACAGGGACAATCCAGAAACTCTTGATTGCATACCCACATTCCAGTCTCCTCCAGAGAAACCATTATTCTATATTTGACATTATTTCATTTCTTTGTACTTTTACTGTGTATTGACAATGAGATTTTTATATCAAGCTCAATTTTTCATTTTTTTTTGTATTTTAATGATAAGCTCTATAATGATACATATGAAAGACTCCATGTCTTTGATCTGTAAAGTTTTTACATTTTTAAGAAAACCGTCTTTTCTACATGGTGTTACTTTGAAAGCTTCATTTATTTTTTGGGGAAGTGGGGTGGTGGTGGTGGTGGTGGTGGTCGTGGTGGTGGTGGTGGTCGTGGTCAGTGGTGGTGGTAGTAGTAGTAGTAGTGACAGGGTCTCACTCTGTCAGCCAGACTGCAGTCTCCAACTCCTGGGCTCAAGTGATTCTCCCACCGTAGCCTCCTGAGTCACTGGGACTTCAGGTTTATGCCACCATGCCCAGCTAACTAAAGCCTCATTTGGTAGCATTGTCCAAGGTGTTGGATTTAGAGATCCAATGGTGTTTTTATTTTCTTTCTAACTTCTATAACCCACATGTAGAATATCTCTGTTGGCTTCTTAAATCTAGATGTCAAATCTATCATGCATAATCTATAGTACCCCAGTGGGGGTTAGCCATGTTGAGATTAATTCTACAGCTTGTGCTGAGTATAGTGTATTAGTCTACTTTTGGCTCATGATTCATTGATGATTCCTCTAAGCAGTTCCCTTAACTTGGAACAGAAGATCTGGGAAAGAACTAAATCTGGTTAGGGAAAAGCAATTATTAGCTATGTTTTTCAGGACTCTTTAGTTATCACGTGGTTAATTTCTGTACTTTCTGTTGAATTTTTAGTTTTTTTGTTCCTCGGTAGAGCTACAGAAATTTAAGGTTCACTTTAAATGAACATAGCCACTACTGACTAAAATACCTGCTTTTGTAGTTTGGAAAGTATCCACAGTTCTTCCTGATGTGAACCTTATCAAAGGCCAAAACAGACAGGCTTGCTGCGGGAGATAAACTTTCTAATTATTTAATTGTGAAACTACCCTTAAAGAAAGAAACATAATTATTTATGTAGGTTACAGTGTTGAGCACTTAAGTCCTCTGAAAGTTCTCTTCTAAATACAGATGATTTTGTTTCCGTCTTCCATTGTGTCATGTCACTTTGCTTTACATGTGACACCTATTGTGTCACATGTAGCTATCCTAGATATCCTAGATATTCATTAGTCATATTCATAGTAGTACATGTGCATGCTCAATCCAGAAAACTAAAAAATACAGTAGCATAAATAATACTCAAATGTAAAGTAGCGTAAATGTCAACCAGGTAGGATATTCGTATGACATGAAATGATGATAATAGGACATGAGAGTTAAAGGGATTCTAATCCAAAGGACAAGTTTAAGAGGCTTCTTTATTACCTCCATGTGATCAATTAGTTTTCAGTACGTTTATGTTTATTTAGTCTGCTTCTGTCACAGAAACATAGTAGGAAGAAGTTAAACTAGAGATGGAGTCCAATAGACATCCTAAATGTTGATACTGGGCATGCATGGGTTGGGGTAGGAAATGTGGTATGAGAGTAGGGTGCTGCTGGGGGCATTTGGTAAGGATGGAGAGTGGAGAGGTCATATGGGGGATGAATTGAAACCAGGCAGTACTTAGCAAGAGGTAGTGGGAGCTGAATTAGCATGGTAGCAATAAGGAAAGGAAGTTACCACCCAGAGAGAACTTGATATGCCTGACTGGGTGTGGAAGGTGAGAGATGTTTTACTGCCTGGATGGTGCCTTTCACAGAGATCATGATAAAGAGGGTAGGAGGTAGGTAGGTTTTGAATGTGATTGAGTTTGCATTGCCTGTAAGACTGTAAAGTAGAGGTGTCATCCATGGTTAGAGTGGTGCTCTAAAGAGAGTTCATAGCTGGAGATTTTGAAAAGTTTTAAAAACTTTTTGTTGTAGATAATTTCAAGCATTACCAAAGAAACAGTTGACATAACAAACGTCCGTGGACCCATCACCTAGATCAATAGCCATCAACTCTTGTTTTGTGCATACTCTGATTACCCCCAACCACTAGATTACATTGATGTTAATTCCAGCCATTATGTAATGTCATCTTTAATTTTTTATTTTTATTTTTTGAGACGGAGTTTCGCTCTTGTTGCCCAGGCTGGAGTGCAATGGCGAGGTCTTGGCTCACTGCAACCTCAGTCTCCCAGGTAGCTGGGATTATAGGCGCCCACCACTACACTTGGCCAATTTTTGTGTTTTTAGTAGAGACAAGGTTTCACCGTGTTGACCAGACTGATTGCGAACTCCTAAACTCAGGTGATTCACCCACCTCGGCCTCCCAAAGTGCTGGGATTGAGCCACCGCACCCGGCCTCATCTGTAAATATTTTGGCATGTACTTAAATAAAATATTTTTTCTGTAAACATAACTACCATATGAATTTCTATGTAAAAATAAAAGGACCAGCCTGGGCAACATGGTGAAATCCTGTCTGAGCGAATGAATAGATGAACGAACGAACGAACGAACGAACGAACAAGAAAGAAAAGCAAGCAAGCTGGGTGTGGTGGTGTGCACCTGTAGTCCCAGCTAGTTGGGAGGCTGAGGTTGGAGGATCACCTGCACTCAAGGAGATGGAGGCTGCAGTGAGCCATAATTATGCCACTGCACCCCAGCGTGGGTGACAGAGTGAGACCCTATCTCAAAATAAATAAATAAATAAATAAATTTCAAATGCTTAATGATCTCTTATTATTATCAAATATCTAAGCAGTAATCAAATGGATCTAATTATTACAGGTTTTTTTTTAAACAGTGGTTTGTTTCCATAAGGATCCAACAAGGCCTACACAGTACATTTGGTTGATTTGTCTCAAAACTATCTTTTAATTAATCTCAAGTTACCCCTTTGCTTCTCTTGCTTTCCTTTTCTTCCCATTTAACATTTTCGTTGCATAAACTGGGTTGCATATTCAAAAGAGTTAGTTTTATTCTGAATTTTGCTGATAATTTCCATAAAGTCATTTAACATGCTGATTCTATGTTTTGTGAAACTGTGAATTAAAATGAGACGTAGTGGCTTGTTTAGGTTCTGGTTCCATTGCGGGAGAAGGGTAAGAATACTTTGATCCATATGTCCATGTGTATGCTCATCAGGAAGCATGTGGTGTCTGGCTGTCTTTCTTTTTTCTGATGTTAGTGGCCATTAATGATCACTGCCAAGATTGCTTATTTCATGAGGGCTTTGAAAAATAGTGACATTTTAATTCTATTATTCCTCTTTATTTCTTAACTGGAATAGAAAGAGAAAGCTTCCTTCATCAATTCTTTGATTACCCTGACCTACAGTTCATCCAGGAAAGGTCAGTTCAATTTTGATTCCTTCCCGTTAGTTGACAATTTTTAGAGCAGTGAGTTAATTTCTTAGGATTCTTCAGAGGTGACTAATGAGAGGAGTGTGTGTGTGTGTGTGTGTGTGTGTGTGTGTGTGTGTTTGTGTGTATATGTGTGTGTCTGTGCCCCTCTGTTTGAGTCTGTAGTAGTCATTGCTCTCTCCCTTGCTGTTTTTTTCTGTCATTTTCTGTTCTAGACCTTGAAGCATCCATTTCTCCTAGGTGCCTTGATTCCTTTTCATGGGAAATAATATTTGGAGACCACAGTATGGTACGATGGGTGCTCATCATCATTGAGTTGGTCACCTATCTAGGCCTTTCAGGGAATTATTTAACAGAGACTTTATTTATTTATTTATTTATTTATTTATTTAGAGATGAAGTCTCACTCTTGCCCAGACTAGAGTGCAACCTCCTCCTCCCATGTTCAAGCGGTTCTCCTGCCTCAGCCTCCTGAGTAGCTGGGACTACAGGCGCATTTCACCACGCCTGGCTAATTTTTTGTATTTTTAGTAGAGACAGTGTTTCACCGTGTTGGCCAGGCTGGTCTCAAACTCCTGACCACAAGGTCCTGACCACAAGATCTACCCACCTCGGCCTCCCAAAGTGCTGGGATTACAGGTGTGAGCCACCACGCCCGGCAAGAGACCTTATTTATAAAAGAAAGTATAAGTATATATTGACT